CGTAGCCATAGTTTCAGCAACACCAGCTATCCCAACCACCCCGTCGACTTCAACGATAGCGCCGATGGTGGCACCGACACCAGAGTCGGCCAGAGGACCCCCTACAAAACAGGAGTGGCCGAGAGACCTCCTGAGAGTTGACTCTCGTCCCAATCGGTCCAAGGGACCGACAGAGGGATCGGTCGCCAAGACCAGCCCTCATAGTCCTTAATACCTCCCTCGCATCAGCTCTCACTATGGTTCAGAAGGAAGATCACCTCAAAGAGCCTGCTCCTAAGATGACGTCAAATCCTAAGAATTGCAGCATGAGGTAGTTTTACCGTTACCACAAGGATCACGACCATCTCACCAATGACTGTCGTATCCTTAAGAGGGATATTAAGGACCTAATTGAGAGGGGGTACCTAGAACCTCGTCTCTCGATGGGATCGAAGGGAAGCTGACCCAGCCAAACAGGACAGGAGATCCCACTCGCGGTCGCCTCGTCCTCGGCCGCGCCAAGATAAGCCCAGCCACAAGGGGGTTATCAACATGATTAGTGGCGGTCTCACTGTTAGGGGTTCATCCAACAACGACCGGAAGAGATATGCTAAGAGGGCGTTGCGGGTCAACCAAGATCACAAGAGGACGAAGGCAGAGGAGCCCATATATTTTGGGGATGCCGATCTGCAAGGCGTTGAGACACCTCATGATGATCCTATCGTCATAACCGCAACAATTGATGGTTATCAAGTGAAGCGAATCATGATCAACACAGAGAGTTCAGTGGACATCCTGTATGTCGATGCCTTCAACCAGATGAGTATCGATAAATCTCGCATGCTCTCCTGTAGAGGACCCCTCATTGGATTCACTAACCACTTTCTTTTACCGGAAGGGATGATTACACTCCCCTTAACAATGGGAGAGTACCCTAGGCAAGCCACCGTCCAAGTCTAGTTCCTGGTAATGGATCTCAAGTCGGTCCACAATGTCATTCTAAGTCGAACTTCCCTCCATCTCTTGTGAGTCATCCCTTCAACTTACCATCAGATGGTCAAGCTCCCGACTCCTAATGGAGTTGGAGTCGCCAGGAGCAATCAGCGAGAGGTCAGGTCCTGCTACCTGCACTCGACCAAGGGTAAGGATGCGCAAAACGCCATGTCCCTTGAGACTGCCTCCAGTTGGAGAAAACAACGGAGCAGTAGAGGACAAAACCGGTGGAAGTGCTTCAGGAGATACCCATTGACTGAGAAGGATTAAAGACGGTCAGGATTGGGTCTAATCTAGTCCAGCCCTTGCGAGGAGCCTTGACCGAGTTCCTGCAGGCAAACACTGATGTGTTCACTTGGGGACCTGAAGACATGTCAGGGGTTCCCCCCGAAGTGATATTCCATGAGCTGGCTGTCGACAGGCATACTAAGCATGTTTGACAAAAGAAGAGACACTTCGGCCAAAACGCCAGAAGGCAGCGGCCGAAGAAGTCAAGCGACTTCTTAGAGCTGGCTTCATATGGGAAGTCCAGTACCCGGAATGGCTAGACAATGTAGTGTTGGTGAAGAAAGCGCTGAACAAATGGAGGATGTGCGTGGACCTCACAGGCCTCAGCAAAGCTTGTCCCAAAGATAGTTATCCTCCGCCTCGAATCGATCATTATCCTCTGCCTCGAATCAAACAACTTGTCGATGAGAGTGCATGGTATGAATTGCTCAGCTTTATGGACGCCTTCTCCAACTACAACCAGATCTTCATTGCAGAGCATGATCAGGAGAAAACATCATTCATTACTGATTTGGGCACTTACTATTACAAGATGATGCTGTTTGGTTTGAAGAACGCTGGAGCTACATATTAGAGACTTGTCAACAAGGTCTTCAAGCACCAGATCGGCCACAATCTGGAAGCTTACGTGGACGACTTGTTGGTAAAGTAGAAGCAAATGTCGGCCCACATATCAGACCTGGACGAGACATTCTCCACTCTCCGGCGTTACCGAATAAAGTTCAATCCTGCTAAGTGTGTCTTTAGGGTGCAATCGGGAAAGTTCTTGGGGTTTATAATCACCCAGAGAGACATAGAGATCAACCCCGAGAAGATAGCCGCTATAGAGCGACTGCCCGAGCCACGCACATTGAAGGATATTCAGAAATTAAATGGGAAGATAGCGGCTCTGGGTCGATTCCTCTCCAAATCTGCAGAGAGGAACCTCCCATTCTTCAAGACACTAAGGGGAAGCAAGAACTTAAAAGAGAGCATGACGTGGACGGCTGAATGCAGTGCAGCCTTT